AATTAAAACACAATGAATGCTTTTTATAAAAACAAAAACCCTAGCCACCCTCTCTCTCTCTCTCTCACCTTTTCACCTTTGAGTGAAAAGAATTTTTTTTCTTTTTCTTTGATTGTTCTTGATTCTTGAAGCCGACAATTGTTCTAGCAAAACAATTGTCGGTTCTTCGGATTATCTTTGTGTGGATTTTCATGAGTGCGATCCTACATTGGATCGATCAGTGAACAGTATCTGGTGAACAGTGTCAGTGAACAGTAGTCGGTGAACAGTGTTTGTAAGCGAAGTCAGAGATATTCAGAGGAGCCTCCAAACGTGGGTATGAACTAAATCCTTGTATGGATTTATTTTACACAAATTTTATTTCACATTTTAGTTTATGGATGAAAACGTTATAATCTGTACTCAGATCTTGGTTCGAATAAGTGATCTTTTCGTTTTTAATATTATGCTTGTTCCGCTGCGCGAACCTGATCACTTACTTACAACTAGGAGAGAGCTGGCCCATCCATGTGGAAGGAAGAGATCATCAATCGTTGGTCGGTAGGGATATTATGGTAATCAAAGAATTGTTCAGCTTTAAACCTCCAGCAACGCGAATTTGTGCCATCAAAACTAGGGACTTCTAAACGGAAAGACTTAGGAAAAAAACTCCTGGAAGTCAATCCCCATTGCTCAATCAAATCTAAAGATGATTCACCAAAATGTTGGTTTTGCTGGCAAGTTTGATCGAACTAGTTGTTTAGAGCTGAAATCTGCAAAGTAACATCTTGAAAGTCAATTGTTAAAACTTCCAATTTCTCTGTTAAAGAAGTGAGAGTCTCTGCTTGGGCAAATTATAGGGCCATAATTTTAGCAAGCTGCTCATCCAAAAGACGCAGGCCAGTGCCTTCAGCCATAACTAAGGAATGAAAGCATCAATTGATAGGGTTTGGGATAGGATTTGTTTATATGAGGAACATAGACCTCCAAGAACAAGAGATAGAGAGATTAATTGACAAAATTCTTTATTGATAACCACAATCTAGATTTAGGCTATTATATAACCTTACACTTGACTCCAAATGACTCCCAAAATGATTCTAATTGCCTCATTCAAATCTAATAAGACATTCTATCATAATTATAAAAGGATAATAAGATAATCTTAATTCTATCCTAATAAGATAATAGCATAATTATAAAAGACTTAACATAATTATAAAAGATAATAATAAAAGACTTAACATAATTATCTTAATTCTAAAATAATCATAACATTGCCTATTATGACTCCCAAAAGGACTCTAATTGCCTCATTCAAATCTAATAAGATATTCTATCATAATTATAAAATACTAACGAAAGCACCAACTGATAGGGTTTGGGATAGGATCTATTTATATGAAGAATAAAGACCTCCAAGAACAAGAGATAGAGAGATTCATTGACTAAATTCTTCATTAATAATCACAATCTATATTTAGGCTATTATATAGCCTTACACTTAACTCCAAATGACTCCCAAAATGACTCTAATTGTCTCATTCAAATCTAATAAGATATTCTATCATAATTATAAAAGGATAATAAGATAATCATAATTCTATCATAATAAGATAATAGCATAATTATAAAAGACTTAATATAATTATAAAATATAATAATAAAATATTTAACATAATTATCCTAATTCTAAAATAATCCTAACAAAAAATAGTTGTACCTTAGACATTACCCGAAGTATCCAAGAATTGGTTGATTAGAAAAAGAAACTGAAAAAGAAATATAAGGCAGTCCGGACATTTTCAGTTAAAGTCCAATTAGAAGGTTTAAATATTACACGACTCTTTTTTCCATGATACAAACTGTTATTTTTATGTATTATAATGTGATTAAATTTTATTTAAAAATATAAAAAGAAGGCAAAAAGAAACTGGTCAGAACTCTCTATATATGAACTCAGAAATCTAGGAATGAATTTTTTTTAATATTTTTTTGTTTTTTGTTTTTTGTTTTTTAGGGGAAAGACATCCCAACAAAACCCTAGCAAAAAACCCTAATTATAATGATTAGAATTTGACTCCCCCCCGATTAAAGTCGTTTCTTTTGACTGCTATTTAGTGAATAAATGGGATGTCAGTTTGCGTTAGATTTTGTGGTCCTCTATTTTGTAATGTCAGATTTATAGTGTGACATATTTTCTTTACTCGAAGTAATAACTAAACTTTCACTATAAGCTTTTTGTTTCTTTGTGAAGTAAAGTTAAAGTGGCCTTAAGTCTTCACTTTTATCAGGTAAGGTTGGATCTTAGCTGGACAGTACGATTTGTAGTTATTTTTTTAATGAATTAGATTATATCAACTTTAATATTTAATTTAAATTTATGACAATAATTTGTAAAATAATTTTCTTGAACCTCTCAAAGTTAGTACATTACAATACTAAACGATGAGCGGATAGTATTATATATAAGACTGATAAAGAATAATAAACCGTTATATTGGATAGATGTAATAAATAAAAAAATTAGTGTTAATAATTTGATATTTGTATATAAAAGTATAAAATGTACAATACACAAAAAATTGTCCAAATGGTTTATAGTTAAATGTTTGATTATATCAACCTAAATTTGTAACTTGAGGGTTGAGAAATTTATAAAGTAAATATATTCAACTTTTTCTAGCTCTCAAAATTAGTAGAATACAATACTAGACGATCAGCATATAGTATAAAATATAAGATTGATAAAGGGTTATTTTAGATAGATGTAATAAAAAAAAATGGTGTTATTGTATATAAATGTATAATGAGGACAATACACATAATATCGTCCAAACGGCAAAATGCATTCGAAAAAAGAAAATATTCGATAAAATCATTTTTTATATTCTTATGATTAATAATACATTTGATCATTTGATATTATTTTCTAAAACAATATTTTCAAATGCTTACTTAGTTTAGGAAATCAGAATATTGGAAATGCAGAAAAGAATACTTCCTATTGTTGAAAGAGAAAATGGAGTTTTGTACTTTCTTGAAATGCTTTTCTAATAGGCCAATCGAATGTATATTGTCCTTTCTTGAAATACTTTTCTAAAATGCATCCAAAAAACCTCTAAAGGACCTCTTCATCTTTTTATTATTGTTATTATTATTATTAAAAAGTAACATGCAATTTTCATAAATTAAACCGTGTCCAACGTTATAAATGAATGGGAGAAAAAAAAAAAAAAGGAAAGCTATATTATTTTAATTTTAGAAATTATTTTATTGTTACATGTTTATAATTATACTTTTCTTCAATATGAGGTTATATTCATCCTACAGAAGTTTTCCTTACGCCCATTTTCTATGTAGGCGCATCTTTAAAATTTTAAAATTAGAATAATTGCAACAATTCTAGTAATTTAACTAAAATTTAATATATTGATGGTTAACACAATAAAAAATTAAAAGTTCACTGAACTTGATGAAAATAATTGCTAAAATCACAAGGAGAATGGCGATTGAAAGTATTATATATATCTTAGATAAAGGATTTTCCCAAAACTTTGCAAGTTTATTGAAGCAACAAAAGGAGGAGAATTGTTTGTATATATCTAGAGGGAATCTCTTTAATTTCAGTTACTTTATAGTTGATAGAAGACAAAATTTGTAGAATAAAGACAATGCATGAACAGAACTTTGTTTATAATTATAATAAACACGTGCAGAAATGGAAGGTACCCGGCCCATCCCCATTGCTAGTTTATTCAAGAATCATTTGAAAGCAGCCGTAAGAGTAAGAAAGGTCTCCTAGATTCTTTCACAAATAAAAAATAAATAAAACCCTCATATTAGTATGCTGCCCTCTGCCATAAAAATACAAAACCTGTCCCATAGGTGTTATAAGATAAAAATATGGTTTCGAATTCTGTGACTGAGGGCTCGCTTTTTAATGTGACTTTTTATTTTTTTTGTATTTTTTTATTTTATATTGGAAGAATTTCACAAATAGTATCTTCAATTATCTTTTAATTAGTTTATAATGTGGATTTGATTAATTTATACTGTGGATTAAAAACATTTCACCTCCTAGTTTAAACTTCAAGGTGGGATATCAACTTAATAAGCTATTATATTCAAAGATTCTAAGTTTCACTCTAACTACATATAAGTAAAATGAAAATAATTTTTAGCTCAGACAATAATGGTGGAAATAATTTTCTCTAAAATTATCAAAATTTATTAAAAAAAAAATGGAGTTATTTTCGAAATTTTCTCTTTAATTAACTATTTAAAGCAATTGAATCAATTTTAATCCATGAAATAATCTCCAAAGCTTTTTTTTTTTCCTATGTTATTTGGTACATGCATTTCAATGTTCCTTCTAACTTGAATTATTCATCTTTTGATCAACAAAACATCCATTTATTTTTTTTTATTTTTTTTTATTTTTATTTTGTGAGCTTTGGATGTGAGATCCAAGGACGTTTTAGTATAACCAAGATAGACAAATATTTTTTTATTAAATTTTAAAAATTTTGTGACCCACTTATTCACTGAAGGATTATCTGAAATAAAGTATAAACAAAAGTACTTGTTATGGAATTAGCCAACCGTACCTGCTTACAACCCTTGGATGATGATCCAAGACTCCAATTATTTATTTGAAACAAATAGAAAAAAAAAATTCTTGGTCCCCCCCACAAAGCTCAACCGGTGGTTCGGTGCCCTAACCCTAACAGATCCTTTTTGTTGTTGTGAGTTCCAATGGCTACTGATTTATTAATTATTATTTTCATTGATATAAAAGTCTCACAATACATCCAACTCTTTTATAAGTTCACCATCAATGTCTGTACTTGAAGCCACAACTCATTTGAGGACCACCTTCATGGAAACATTAATTTGCCTGCGTCGTCGTTTTCTATTCTAGTTAAGGCTTTCGGGTTTTGTCATTTATCACTCGAAAGTTTGTTTACAGAAGAATATTTTAATTTAATTTGTTTAGTTACTAATAGTTAAAGATGATGATGATACCAACTGGGTTCAGATTCAATCCCACCGATGAAGAGCTCATCGAAATTCTTCAAAGAAAAGTCTCTGGCCAAGAAATGTCTCTCCATGACCATTTCATTGTTGAAAGAAATGTGTATGAGCTTGATCCCCAAGATCTTGAATGTGGGTTTTTATTGCTTCTCTCTTCTTTATTATTAAATCCTTAATTTTGGTTTCTCTTTTGGCCATTCTCTCTGTGTTTAAACCTTCATTTCTTCTTCTTTCTTTTCTGGTATATCATATTCATCTTCTTTATGCAATGTAAATATACTTCCATCTTCATCTTCTTCTTCTATATATAATTTTGCACTTGCGGCATAGTTGCCCCACTCATAATTTCCAATTTTATATGTGGGGGATTTTTATTTTTATTTTTTTGATTTGGTGCATCCTAGAAGAAACAAGTATTTCTTGACTTTATGTGTGTTTGAAGAGATATCTTGAATTAAACTAAGAAAATAGGATAGTGAATAGAAAAACGGAGACACTATTTATCAGTCTATAATGATCATTTTTCAATTAACTTGTATTGATTTTCACTTTTTAATTTAAGTTAATTGAAAAGTTGTTATCAGTTGGATTAACATTATCAAACTAACACGAATAAAACCTTTAAAAAAACGAAGAAAAAATCTTACTCCTAGAAATACTTGAGGTTTTCATTTTTTCTAATTCTTTTTCTTTTATCATTTGGTCTATTTGATGAATATGTTAACATGTCTAACTTTATTTATTTGTTTATTTTATATAGGGGATCACAAGGTGGTGTTATCTAATAACGAGAGTTACTGCTACTACATGAGGGAGACTGATTCCAGAGAAGTCTCTGGTCGAGGATGGTGGAGAGCCACCGGGCATGTGAAGAAAATTTATGCTAACAACCGAGTGGTGGGCTACAAGAGACCCCTAACATTTCTCAGGTTTACAGATAATGAAAGAAAGCGCAAGAATGCCTTCAAGACTAATTGGATTATGCATGAATATAGCCTTGATTCCAACACAACGGTTTGTCCACTTTATTTCCCAACTTGGTTAATTTTAATGACCTTTAATTTTTCTTAATCCCCTTGTTTAATTTTCTTGCTGTTCTTGATTTTGTTATATGTATGTTTTCCTTTGTGTTTCTTCTGAATCTCACTCGAAAAGATTCTCTTCTTTGCATCATGCACCTTTTATGAAAGCTACAGTTTATTATATTTATCTTTTGAAATCAGTTTCCTACTCTTTTTCTTTCTCAATCCTTTTACTCAACCTAGCTTGTGCATAAATCGCTATATGGAAGCCAATCGAAATCAACTTTATATACTTTAGTTACATATCTTCACATTCATAGAAAACCTTTTGATATAAAGGTAACTATATCTTAAATACTAAAGACATCTAACCTTTTTTTTATTTTTTAAACTTATACAAAAACCCTGATTGAAAAAGATTTAATCCCAATGCAAGAATCTAGACTCTTAAGAGCTTATTTGATTTGAAAATTCGGGGCAATGAATTAGTAATTCTTCTCTCTTTTGATTGCATAGCTGAAGCTTTTTAGGGTATTTAGGTAAGCTTCAACATTCAAAAAATTACAACATTTCATGGAAATAAATTAAATTAAAACAGGTAAAAAAAAAAAGTGTCCATTGCCATGCACAAATAACTAAAGGCCTAAAGAAAGAAGTATTTAATAAATATCACGTTGGATTCTGAAAACAGTCCTTTTCTGATTCTTTCCTTATTCATAAACGTATAGTCATAGTCATTGTCCTCATTCAGATACAACTGAGATTTGAAACACTTTAATCTATGATATCCAAAGCTCTTTTACAGCCCCCCAAATTTTTTTTTTTTTAAATTTTACTGTGTGCTTTTAAATTTCAATTTACCTGTTATCACTACAAAAAAATATAGTATGTGTCAAGCTTTTTTTTATTTTTTTTCACATCAAAAAGTAATTTGATGCAAGTGTATGTATATTTATTGTAACAGAGGAATTAATCTGTAGCAAATAATTTAAAATTTTGCTATAGATTTATATATTTAGACTTTAGTGTTTTTGAAACGTAAAATTTCTGTTAATTTCTTTATAAATATGATGCAAAAAATCTTTTGCAACAGATTTATAGCAGAATCCTTCTGATACAAAAGATATATTTTCTTGTAGTGTACACAGTTGAAATTAATTGAATACTATTCATGATGTCTTCCAGGAATGGCGGCTTTGCAAGATCAAATACAAAGGAAAGACAAGTGTAAAAGAAGAGCTGGAGAATATCAGAAAAGGTTACAGATTAAGTAATGAATTTGAGGGCAGCAGTTCAATAATGGTGATGCAGCTTGATTTTGTTGGTGAAGAACAGAAGCAACCGCAACTTTTAGAGCTAGAAAATTTGTGTGAACCATATTCAGAAGTTAGCAGTTCAACTGGAATGCAGATCGATTTCATTGGTGAACCTTTTTATTGTAGGCAAAACATGGAAATCGAAGTGGTGGATGAACAACAAAAGCAGTCAAATGCTTCCTATGATCCAATTTTAACCCACATTTCGAGTACAAATTATTACTTTGATGATCCCCTCGAGCAGCCGGATTCATCAGAGGAAATATTTCCTAGTCTTTGGACTTAGAAAAATTTGCTAGAATCAATCGAACATTCATGTTTTATTTCTTTTAGAATTCTCTATGTGAAAAAGTTGATATTCTGATTGATCATTACGATTAGATCTTCTTTAATTTGTTTTGTTAAATCAGTATTTGCTTGAATATATAATTGATAAATTGAAGTGTTAGAGTGCTTGAATTGAAAACTCTTGGACATGTATGTAATTTAGCATATATTACTCACGTGGAAATTCTTATAATCAGTTTCTGTGTTTCATATTACCACTTGTCAAAGGCTTCTTTTTCCATAAAGAAACGTGGCAGTATGCATGTGTCCTACTTTGTGTATTTATGTTGGGGTACATTTCATTTACTTCTGAATGGTCCCCAACATTTTAAAACTTGTCACTTACCTCCCCTTTCTTCAATCAGAATTTAAGACAGTTGATTTTAGATGATTGAACAGTTAATGAACCGACATGATCACCCTTCATAATTTTGTCCTCTAAAACTACATAAATTGGAAAGTTGATAATCAAATTAATTAGTTCACAAGAAAGACAATTTGTGATGGTATAACAAAAAGAGTAACACTATTCTTGCTTTTATCCCAAATTTCACATTCCAAATAATGTGACACTATATGTGGATTGTCATATCATTCAATACATTATAACTTAAGTACCTACACATTTTGACTTATACTTACAAATTCAAATTTAACTAACTTTATATACATATATTGTGTTGTGGCAATGCTTTAAAACCCAACCCGGGGTGAAACCTAGCAAGGTTGCCAGGTCCCTGGTTGACTGGTTTAACCGGTCTGACCAACCGGTCAAACCGAGTGACAAAACTTTTAAAATTCAGCAAAATACACCCCTAAAAATTCGTTAAGTCCCTATAGGTTTAAAATTTAGCAAACACACCCCAAATACAATCGGCCAACGACTAGTTGGCGACGACGACACCCCAAATGCAACCTCAATCGTCCCTTGAGCCCATTCCCCTAAAAATATACCAAGATCTGGACGAAATTAGTTCGATTTCAACCAGATATTACTAACGCGGGCGTCGGCATTCCAAGCCAAATCTCACCGAAGCCAGTGTTGACAACCCTCCCCATCACTCTGAAAATACTCCTGTAATAACTCTTTCTAGCTAGTAGACTTTGGGAAATATAATATGAAATCACTAAATATATCATGGAAAATATAAATGTATTTAAGTACAACATAGTGGGCCCAAAAATTTCTTTACATTAACAAAAGTATCATCTACATAATCTCAAAATACAGTGGACAGTAATGTCATTCCCCTCCGCTTCTCGACGTTTCATCCGACCGCTTCTCACCTATTTCCTACAAAAACATTGAAAACAACGGGAGCACTAGTTGCTCAGTAAGTAAATCTGCTATGCTATTCTTCTATCTTCGTTGCTCATATTCTGAATTTCTTTCCTTACATCACATCTCTCTATTCTCTCTTTGTTCTTTCTCTATTTCTAGTTCTCTCTGTTCTTTCTCTTTTCTAATTTCTAACTTTTCACTACTCATGATAGTAGGCATGGTATCATGCATAGGTATGATGCAAATGCACAATGCATAGGATGTGCATTTTTCTTTCTGCTTTTCTATTTCTTATTCTGTTTTTCTTTCTTTTATGTGTTTCTTTCTTCTTTCTTTCTTTCTATTCTTTCTTTTCTTTCTATTCTTTTCTTTTCTTCTTTTCTCTTCTTTCTTTTCTTTTCTTTTGTTTTCTTCTTTTCTATTCTTTCTTTTCTTTTCCTTTTCTTTTCTTTTCTTTCTCATTCTCTTCTTTTCTTTCTTATTATTCTCTTTCTATTCTTTTCTTTCTTTCTTTCTTATTCTTTCCCGATCGAACTCGGTTGAGACATGGATTCGGAACCCTGCCGTGTGACTGTACAATTTCTTCTTCTTCTTAGGCCGCTCACTAAAGGCAGCATGCATGTAGGTATATTCTTCTGGGTACAATCCTCATCCACGTGCACTCTTACGAACTGTACAAATTATTCTTCTTCTTCTTAGGCTGCTCACTAAAGGCAGCGTGCATGTGGGGATATTCTTCTTCTTGTCACTCACAGGTTCCCTATCGCTACAACCTTCTTTTCTCTTATCTTTCTTTTAGAAATTAGTATTAAATTTCTTTTCTTTAGCACTTTTCTTTCTTTCTCTTTGTTCTTTAGTGTGGTTATATGCATGTATGCATGTAAATGGACTTTTTCTTTTTGTTCTTTCTCAATTCAAATGTCAAATGCGAGAATGCAATATGGCATGTAAACATGTCATTCTCTACTTTCTCTACCATCTACAAACTCATATCAAAATAATAAATCAACATACTCATACATGCACTTCTTTATGAAATTTCATCAAACAGTTTGTATGCACAAATAAAGCAATAAGGTGATTACACTTCCATAACAATCTCTAACCACCAAAATTTTGGAGCAAAGCTCCCTAAAAACAACTTCAAACCTGACCAGGAAAATACACTCCATAACTCTACACAAATTATTTCTTAGCTCATACAAACTTCCATCAATTTCTATAAACACAATCATCACTCCTCATAGTGGAATTCTAACCATGAATCATCATCAATTTCATCATCAATTCTCAATACTCAAGCATATAAATACATATAAGACAATTCTCTACTCAAGTATTGCTCAAATCAAGGGCTAGGGTTGGATTTACTTGCCTTGATCTTGGGTAGTTCCACACTAGAATCTCTTTCTTTGATAGACTTCCTCTTCTTCTTACACCCTAAGCATATAAACTATAAGAATTCAACACTTTAAAGATTAATCTCACGTCTTATTGCTAGACAAGGTAGTCTTTTCTTTTACTTGTAGATAAAAGTGATGAACCAGAATAGAGTCTCACAAAGAAAAAATCCTAGAAAATCAATTATAAATCAAAGAAAAAGATATTATCAGCAAATAAAGCCAAATCTCTTTCTTCAAAATTCCTTATTTTTTCTCATCTTCTTACTTATCCTCTACTCTAAATCAAACCTGTAGATAATAAAATCTACAACTGATTCGGAAGGGACGGATCATGTGAGAACAGAGCCACTAACAATCTAATGGACCTACACAAAGAAGAAAAGAGAACGTGAATGCTAGATAAACACTGATGTGGTGTCTGCCGTAGATATTCTGATGCTCAAGTCAACAAGGTTGAAGGTATTTAGTGAGGGCTGAGAACGAGAAACGTTACCAGAATAATATGATGGTTCTTGAGAGCAAGAACTTTGAGAGCTAGGTGCTATGGGTTATTTCTAAAGAGAGGGTTTGCCTCTATTTATATATTGAACCCAAGGGGTTGGAATCCTAATAGGACTCTAAGTCCTACTTAATAGATGAGTCCCAATTAGGAAGGAACTCTTGCTTCTTGCCTTTATCGATTCAAGGGTATTAGTCCATATAAGATACTGGATCTTGAATGAATTAGAAAGGTGATAGGATTCTTATTTCTATTTATGACTGTTGTGGACTAATGAGCTGGGAGCAGGGCTGTTCAACGAGGCGAGCCGCTCATGAGCCAACTCGTTAACGGCTTGCCTTGTCTGTAGTAAGCCGGCTCGACTCAACTCGTGAGAGAGATCGAGCCAAGTTCGAGCATGCCTCGGCTTGGCTCGGCTCGGTAGCTTGCGAGCCGAGCCAGGCTCGAATTAATAGGGGTGTTTTAGAGGTTTTCTAATGTATGGGGGATTGAACTGATATTTTTAAAACAAAAGTTTGCAAAATTAACAAAAAAAAAAAAGAAGAAACCCCAAATGTTAAAATCCCTAAATTGTGACTCAAACCCATTCGGCAACGAATCCAAAAGAAATCAGAATATTTCAGGCAAGTAGAAACTCAGCACCGGTGTGTTTCCTTGTCATCGTTTCTCCCATCTGCATCGTCGTCATGGTGTCGCAGACTCGGCAGCATCAAACCCATCCACCCATTCAAATCTTGTTGGCATTTGGTCGCACTTCGCAACATGTTTGCGACTCTTCGTGAATGCCATCTGCAAGTATGTTTCTTTGATCTTTTTTATGATTGTTAATTTGTTGTGTATGATTGATTTAGTATTCAGCTTTGAGGTTTAGGTGGGATGCTTGGATAGTTGGATTTTTATTTCATCTATTCTGTTCTGCTTCAGGTGAGGTATTTTGGTGAATGTCTGATGGATTTTTAGTTCATCTATTCCCTTCTTCAAGTTTCCAGACTCCAGTAGTGCGTCCGCCATATCCATCTTCAAGGTATTGTGCAGATTGCAGTACTGCCAAGTGCGTCCAGCCTTTGTGTAATTGAGTTTTTTTGTTTTTTTGCTTTTAACTTTTAAGTCCTAATTAATAAGCACATGGCAAGTACTAGAGAGTGGAGAGTGGTCCGAGTGGAGACTAAAACTAAATGGGAAGTTGCTTTATATTAATTGATGGATGATGGTGTCTTGTGTAATATTCTGGTCTGTGGACTGTGGTCTCTGGTCTGTGGCATTTTCCTTTATATTAATTGATGGTGTTTTGTGTAACAGACTTTGATTATAGAAGTTAATTATATGATATAATTTATATCTTTCATTAGTAGACTTTGCTTTATATTAATTGATGGTGTTTTGTGTTTTGTCTCCCATTTTTAATGGAGATTCACTAGAAATTACAAATTTTAGTTGTTTAAAAGATTAGCGGCAGACAATGAGACAAAGACTACTGTGACATTTTGCTTTTTGTAGAATTAATTGATGGCAAGACAAAGACAAAGATTAGTTGGTTATTAATGACCTAAGTCAAACACTAACATTAATTGATGGCAAGTAGCAAGCTGAGACAACAATGAATTTAATTGAAGTGATAAATAAAAGAATAAAGAAGAGTGTAGGCTGTGCAGCGGTCATGTGCAGATTGCTTCATGGTCCAATATTTGTGCACTGCTATTTTCTTTATATTTTAGTATCCATATTACTTCATATTGGTTCTACATTAAATTGAATTTTTTTTTTTTTCTTGTATA